TATTTGGTTTTTTAGTTTTTCGGTAAATCCATTTCATTTAAAACTACAAAAACACCCCTGTGCATATTTTAGCAATTACCCTATTGGACTAAAAGTTTCTAAATTTTATACCTTACCATTCGTTCTCAAAAGACCCTTAATCTGACCATCTCGTTGAGAATTAAATGTTGAAATAGCACACATTTCCACCTCAATTTGCAATGCAATATTGCCACTCATTCTTTAAGAATTAGAGAGATCCTTTTGAAGTTTTCAAAGTTGAAACACGCACTCTGTATTGCTCCCTCCCTGCTATCAGGATTTTTGTCTGCTTATATTGTGAGGTCCATTATCACCGACAACATTGGTGGGTAAAAATGAAAAACTCATAAAATTCATAAAATTATATACCTATCAAAAAAAATAAAATACACTTATTACTATCAAGAATATTACTATCAATCAATTATGCGGTCTCTCTCAATCTTTTTATAGATGGTGTGTGTCGTGTGATCTCATAATTATGAGAGTGAATTCAAAAGTTCGAAGTATGCAATGAGAGGAAGTTGCACAGTTGCATCAGTAAACTAAACTTGAACCAATCATTTTGAGGTAATAACCAATATATTTGTGAATTTTTAAGTATGGTACTGCAAATTTGACCATCATATTTTAAATTGTGAACTTTTTTTTTTTTTTTTGGTTTTATCGTGAGGTCCTTTATCACAATACGGTTTAAAATTCTTGTGTTTTGCATTTCACATTGTATTTGTCACTGTGTGTTTGATTTTCTTGTATTTTGCATTTCACAGTGTGTTTGTGGCTTGTTTGGAGTAATTATTATAGATTTATAGGTATTTATTATTATTATTATTATTATTATTATTTTTTGGGAAGATTTGTAGGTAAATGAAGAAGTTATTGCATAAAAGGTAGAATTTGTAGTGGCATGAGAAGCATTTTACCCTCATTTAAAGTGGCGTTAGTTATCAAATTATATACCTACCAAAGGATAAAATGCAGTTACTAGCAAGAATATTTATGTACGCAAACAAAATATGATATTCACTAACAATAAATTGTATTATCTCTTTCGCTCTTTTTCAAAATCTTTTTATGGATAGTGTGATTTCATTTTTGAAAGTGAATTCAAAAAATTTAAATGGCAAAGCAATATCACCATAAATTAAAGTTTAAATTATTCGATTTGAGGTAATAATTGACATATTTATAAATTTTTAAGTATGGCGAAACTTCAATTCAAATCATATTTTTAAACATGATAGTGACAATTTCAAATTACTAGCTTTTGCACGCACGTGGTGCACGTGCCCTACAAAATAAATAATGAATCATTTCTAATATAGTAATGTGTAGAGATCGAAAGGCAATGGATGGTGGAGAGTGTCTCAAGCTCACAATTAAACAAAATGGGTAGATTGAAACAAAATGGTATGTGATTGTTTTTATGAAAAGATGAGTTGTTTGGCAGCAACCAATTAATTTATAGATTTGTGTATGATTTAGGATGCAAATGATGGATATGCAGTGATTCTGAAAAATGTGTCATTTTTATTTTTTATGCATTAATCATATGAATTCTTAAAAATCAAATTATATTTATATGTTTGGATTTAAGTCTCGTATCTCTAATCAATAGAGTAGTTGGCATTTTCAAATATCATTGGTGTCTTAGTTCTACTAAGTAAGAGCATCTCCAACCGTTGTGTATATTTTTTTTTGTGTAAATTTGATGTGTCATGATAGATTTACATAAAAATTTTAAATTATTTAATTTTAGCTCAAACGATTATTTTATACCTTTTGTGTAAAAATATATCTCCCAATAATAATCAACCATGTGTCATTCCAGGGCTCACATAATTTTTACAAACTTACTTAATATATAGTTGATTTTTTAATGGAATGAGAAAGACGGATAAAAAAATAAATATATTGATTTAGCCGTGTAAAAAGGTTATATATTTTACACATTAGTGATGTGGCAATGTAAGTTAACAGACTGCTGGAGATGAAAAAAATTTACACATCATAAGTGACAGTGTATATTTTACACAAAAGAATATTTTAACATGCCGCTGGAGATGCTCTAAGCATGTTAATCATTTTTACATGACACGCAATGTTTTCATGATAGCTTTTCTTTTTAAAATTTACACCATAAATCTCAATAGAATATATTTTTTTACATGTCCGTATGTTCTGCTTAAATTTGAGATATCAGAAGAAATTAAGTCTTTATTCATTGAGATGGTTTTCTTTTTCTTTTAGAAAATCATCTCAGTCGTAAAAAGCGAACTTTCTTCAGAGTTTTTGGATAATTGAATGTAATCATCCGGATGAATGAATTTACTTAAAATTCTGATTTTACTGAATATCAATATTATAATCTATACAATTGCAAAATAATACAAATAATAAAATAAGCGTATAAGTTTGAAATATTAAATATACAAATTTTTTATTATGCAACTTTTCCACTTTTGAGATAAACATTAGAGTAAAGTATGAAAACAATCCCAAACTAGGTAAATTTTAGCAATTAACCTCTTCAACTAAAGTAAGTGGCTTTTTGGAGATCTAAAACAGGCTTTCAAGTAGGGGTGAACAAATAATCCGTGAATTCAGTCCGAACCAATCCAATCCGTGTGGTTCAATTCGATTTTCAGATCTCATGATTCGGTGATGGTTTAAAAAAATAGTAATCCGCTATTTGCAGTTCAGTTAACGGACTAAGATATGAAAAAATCGATCCGTACCATTAACTGATCCGATCCGTTGCCTAAATAATATATATATATATATATATATATATATATATATATATATATATACAATATTGAATACACTTACTGTATTTCTTTTTTTATTATTATTCATTATTCTTTAAGTTAACCCTAACTCCCAAATTCATTACTCATTTGGTATATAATTTACAAATATTCGATATATGATTTACAAATTTTATTACTGTTACTGTTAGTCCAATAGTAACAGGCTAAATGTGTAAAGTTTATTTCTTTTTTTTATCTTTAATTACTAATTTGAGATTTTAATGGGCCATAATATTTGCCCAATGTAATCATGTTGTACTATTTGAAAAGCTTAATTCGTAAAAATCGATTCGATCCAATCTGTTATTTCACAGATCGGTTTGATTTGATCGATTCGGATTGAACTTTATTCCAAACTAAACCGATCCGATCCATAATCACCCCTACTCTCAAGTTCAAAAAGGCATTTTAAAAAAAGCAGTAAGTGGTTGGCGGATGATGGTAACGGTCTTTGAAAGGATGTGAAGAAAATCAGCAAAAGAGTAGCATCGGTGTTTTGATCTGTAGTACGGTGAACGCTTTCTTTTTATTTCGTGAAACTAGTCCATCTATTAATCTGTACAAAAACGTGAAGAACTTCTACTCCTTATAATTATATGTTTCCTATCCAAACAAGTTCTCTTTGGAGTCTTCTACTCCCATTCCAAATGAATCCTATAATACTTTTTGGGCTAGTTTGGTATAGTTGAATGAATTAAAATGGAATGAGAATGGAGGTGAGAATGAAATGATGATTCTCATTCTCTTGTTTGATTGCAAACACGGAATGGAATGTATAAAAATAAAATGATAATTTCCATTTACTTGTTTGGTTGGACTAAAAATAAAAATGGATTGAATTAAAAATTTTTTACCTTTATCATTATTTATTTTGTTTTCTCCAAATTACCTTTATCATTAATAAAAAAAATTAACTAAAAAATTAACGTCAAATTTTTTGCAATCCAATGGATAGAAAGAGAAAGTAGAGAGAAAGTAAAAACTGAGCAAGTAAGGTATTGGAGATTGGGACGAGAAAAGGCAATGGAAAGAATGGTGATCCGATTTGGAAAGTGGTGATCCGATTTGGAAACTTCAGTGCGATCGAACAAGGGTGAGGATGGATCCGATTCACGAAAAAGCTTCCGATCTACCCTTTTTTTTTCTCTTTTTTTTTTTTTTTTTACTTACCAAAAAAAACATAAAGCTTCACATCCACTTTTGATTTTTTATCGTGTCTTGGGTGATGACGCCAGTGGTGGGTTTGATGGAGGAGGTGATGATGCCAACAACGAGTTTGACAGAGGAGATAATGATGCGTGGGTTTGCAATTTGTTAGGTTTTATTTTTTAATATTTTTTTAATTTATATTTTTCTAAAGTAGGAATGAAATGTTCATTCCTTTTGTGAAAAGGTGGAATGATTTTGATTCTCCAAGAATGATGGAGAATGACGATTTCAAGTTTAAAATTGGACACCCAACACAAGAATGGAATAAAAACCATTCCATTCTACTTTCTTTGTATTCCATTCAGGCCTTTATGAACTCAAGTTGTCTAAGAATTCGATATGTTGCTCTTCTAAGTCTTTAAAAAAGGATTAAAAAATTGCATCCACCAAAAAACTTCAAATGAAATGAATTTTATAATTGGGAAGCTCCCCCAAACACAGCCTTCAAATGAAATTAATTTTATAATTGAAAGGCATTTTACAAAGGATTTCAAATGAAAAGACTATTGACCGTTATGCCCTACCTGTTAGAGACAAGGTCAAAAGAACTCTAATTTCCATTTCAATTTGCTTCGTTATTTTACAATTCAACTCATATTCGATTTTTTGAAGGGAAAAAAGTGTTTGTGGATTGCATGGACGTACTCATGCAGTTCATGTTATCATTATACATTTGTATGTAAATGATGAAGTTATTGCACAAAAGGAAGAACTTGTAACACATCATGTGAATAGTTTGGAGGAATGAACAATAAATTCATAAATTTATTGGTTTGATCAATTGTTGCTTCTAAGAACCATTCTCTAAAAATGAGTTTAAAAAATGTCTAATTTCAGATAAAAATAAACTATATTTTTTTCTAAATGAAAAAAACATGCCTCTGCTATTTCTTGCTTGCTAATGTTTTTAGCATAAGCAAATTGTTCACTGCTCTGTGCTATATTAACTCAAGGAAAAAAATGAAAGAACTTTTTTTCCTGCGATAACTGTTAATATATGTATAACATAGATGCTCGCAACTAAGAAACATCAAGGAGCAAATTTTAGATTGACTCAAAAGTGGAAATTGAAATGAACAGAATGGTTTAGAACTTCAGGTTCTAGTCCACACACACACACACACACACGCACACACATATGTCTCCAGGAAAAGAAAAACATAAAATTCCACATAATGCAAAGACATCTCCTAATTTTGAAGATATTACCAAAAACTTCAGCGCAAACTCTCGATGATTTTAGAGACTGCTGAATAAGTCCCGATGGATGATGATACAATACCCACTGCAATAATAAGTACGCAAAGTGATCCCTGCTCGGAAAGGGAAAAAAAAAAAAAAAAAAAATGTTAGGAAATGAATAATAGTAGTGAGCTGTGAATTACAAAAAGCTGTCAGGCTCCTAGTCTGTTTAATAAAACATGATTATCAATAACATATTGGTTAGGCATGTTAATTAAATGTTTTGCATTCAAATTCCATGAACTACACCATTTTTTTTTACCTTGACTTAATTTTTTTATGTTTTTATTTTTTGTTCAATATATTTATGTTATGTGGCCTTGGATATGTAGGAAGACAAGAAAAGGATATCACAAGCATAAGGGCTATAGCGATTGTTCTAAGATTCCATTTCCACTCATTCCTGTCTGTTGATTTCTTTTATGATAATAAATTAATTTATTAAAAGAAAGAATGAGTGTGATACAACTCCACTAAGAGAGGGCTTGATATCTACCGAAAACAAAGCCAAAAAAGTGGAAATTAAGGCGACTCCAACTGGTGACTGATTATGCCAAGGGAACAGCAGTTTTGGTCCTTATTAGAAATGGTTACAAATTGTGTTATTGGACACTAGCTCGGGGGCCTTCGAGACAACTCGGTTACGGCATTACAAACAGGTAACTGGATATAAGTCTTACTAAAAAGTTCTACAAGACACCACATAAACCAGAAAGAAAATAGTAAAACAAAACAGTTCTATCAAATTCAAGGAACACAATATCTAAGTCAAATAGTAATACTGTTTAAAAGCTAATACAGGTATTACAAAACAAGTTTACCACACTACTACATAACATTCAAATAATAAAATATTAAACAAACCAAAAAAAAAATAAAGAAGAAAAAGAAAAATATAAGGTGGAAATATAAGCTAATTAGATCCAAATCAAACATCCCCAGAAATATATTTGGAGCCATCCTTAGAAATGCATTTTAAAATATGCATTGGAAAGCAATAACATTAAGTATTCTATCAAGTGTCAACAAGTAAAAACATAACTTATAAATTATGTTTAGAGTAGTCAATATTAACTTTGTGGTTAGGCCAAAAAGTTACACAAGAACCCCTCAAAGCCAAAAGGTGACAATAATGCTTTATGCAGTGAGGTGTCAATTGTAACTGCTACATTTTAGGTATAAAATGTCCCACCACTTTTAACTTCGTCAATGACATTTTTTTGCACTTCTGCTATGAAGAGCTTACCCTTATTGAAGCAAACAAATAGATCCAAGAATTGACATTATTTTTTCGAAAAGAGAGAATCATATCTTTAGAGAGAATAAAAAAAAACTAAGAATAGAGAGGATTAAGATAAAAAAAAAAAAAAAAATTAAGAGGGAAAGTTTAAGAGAATGGAAATTCTTAAAAAGAGAAATAAAAAAAGAATGAATTTATTGATAACGAATAGGGAGAATCGAAGCCAAATAGATTTATGAAGAGAAAATTAATAGCCAAAATGAGTATTTCAAATAGCATTTAGTTTAGGGAGTTGGATTTGGTTTACGGGTTTCTAATTCTAAGAATTGTAAATATTAGAATTGCAAAGGGAATTAAAAACCTATAGTTTACATGGGCAATTTGAAATCCTACTCTTCACAAAATTGGATCTGGACTCATTTATTTATAATTAACAATATTTAACCTAGTGGTAACAGGATGCTATTGGAAATTGAGGCGGTAGAGATCAAGAAGAATCTCTGATAGTAATGATGAGACGTGATAATAGTTATGGTGGTTGTGGCAATTGAAGAGTGTGTTGATAACATTTATGTGAGAGTGGAAGCTGAGATGCTGGTGGTGGTTGCACTATAGTAGATTAAGCTTATTACACTTTTTATGAGAAACCAAACGGAGACTCAAAACCAGGTCTGCAAAGGCACTAAAATTTCAAATTGCTTCAAGTTTCACCTCTGTGCTTACATATAAATGTCACATGGCAAGGGGGAAAATTTTCATAGCTTATATTGCCAAATTCAATAAGTAGTATTAGTGGTAAATAGGGGCCACATATTGATTATACCTGAAAACGAGTTACTTTCTTCCCGAAAATGCTCAGGAAACAAGCACAAGGTAGTATCAAGGTCTGCAATATAAATTCTAGTCAGTACAATGTAACCAGAATGATGATAGTTTCAGTTTTCGTTATCTTAGAAAGACGTGAAAGCAACATGAGAAGCCATTCGGTAGAAATAGCACAGGAAACTTACTACTAGCATCGTGAGTAAGGATCCAATCAGTGCCATCACCAGACCTGCAAATGGAAGAGATATATTGATGCTATAACGCAACTGTTGCATCGTAAAAAAGACAAGTAAATAAAAAGGAACACAATAATTTTTCCTGAACATTACAACCACAATGAGAGGGTATAGCAGGACCACCCAATGTATGAGTTCAAAAAGGTTCCACAAAGAGCAATAGGTCAATCAATAAAGCATTAAGACTTACCAAAAAAAGGGATGGAGAGAGCCACAATCAAGACTGAAATCACCAGTGCTGTTCTAATGAGGATCGGGTACATATGAGATTTGAGATGGCGTGATGGTATCAATTCCTCCAGACACATTGCCACTGGAGACATGGTTAATGCATATGTAGTTCTAGTCAGGGAAAAATCTTTTCCTTTCAATAGTGGAGCGTAAAGGACGAAAAAGAAATATAATTTTACCATTACACTTGTTCAGGCAGTTTAGCGCTTAGATTTGGAGAGAAGTTTAATCAATGAAGAAAAAACCAAATTCCTAGCTCAAGGAAGGAAATAGATCTATTGAGGTTTAATGAACTACAAGAGTGGCAAAACAAAAGAGCCAAAAGTACTCCAGCTGACACTATTTTAATTCCTTCCTCATTTCTTTTTCTTTCTTTCTTTCTTATTATTATTATTATTATTATTATTATTATTATTATTATTATTATTTTTCCCAGATCAATTGTTTGAAATGTACTGATAAAAAATAGAATTCTTTTGGAGAAAGGATATTTGGTAAATGGATTGACCACCTGCAAAAACACAAAAAGAAGATATAAGTAAAATATCCAAAGTAATATTTAAAGACTAGAATTTTAATATCTACAGATGCAAGCCAGTTATAAAGGGCAAAAGACTCAGACAAAACCCAGCCTGGGCACCAGCCAGTTGAACAGGCTAACTGAGACTTTGTCACCCAGTAAGTTAACAATCCATAATTAATTATAAACCGAGTTAAAGACCAAAGGTAGCAATAGTTGAATGACATGATTACAATCCTTATCAATTTTAAAAGCCTATATATTAAACGAATTAAATAAAATTTTGTAATTGAAAGAAAAATTCTAGAAAGCAGCAATAGCCTTTGAGATCACCAACGCTTGGGATTAAATATTGCAGAATCAAGAAGAAGAAACATGCTCATAAAATTAGCATAATTGAAATGAGATGGTTAATATGGATGTGTGCTAAGATAGAAAAAGATAAAATAGAAATGAGTACATTAATTACTTCGTGAAAATAATACCAAGTAGAAAATTTATGAGAAAGAAAAAAAACTAGTTACAATGGTTTGTCTATGTTGCAACGAATATTAATAACTGCACCATGAGGAAGAGTTGCATGGAATACATAGCGGGGAATGCCAATAAAATGGAACCGAAAATTCACGTCAGTTGAGATAGAAAGGAAATTTGTCAATTTTTGAAACAGGATTCTTGTAACTGACCCTAATAGTTGACACACAAGATTTTACTGAATTGAACATGAGCTGATTCCTATTTTATTAATTTTTTATTTTATTTTATAATCTTTACTTCTGATAAAGCCAGGGAGTGGGAGATAGAGAGAAACACACAGCTTGTTACATGAGAAAATGATTAACATAGTTGCAGGAGCAAAATAACCTTTAAGAAGAAATTTAAAAATCAAAAGTTTAAGAGTCCTACCGTTGTCCATACAGCAATTTTTGAAGCAACCAATTCTTGGGGCATGTTAAGAGTGAATTGTGACTCTGTCGATTCTCCAAACATCATGTATCCTATCGCTCCAGCTCCAGCATACAGCAATGTACAAATACCGAAACTGCATTCAGAACAAACACTGAGCTAACGAAAAAAGAAGATGAATTGTAAAAATACAATAATGTTTATTATAAGAATATTGGATTCTTTATGGTCTAAAAAGTATCAATACTTTTATGACAGTACACATATCAGACGCCAACCTCCGGAAAAGTGTGTGAAAACATTTGGATGTGTCCATAATTTAGAAATAAAATTCATAATATGGGCATCTGGTTCCATACTTGTTGGACACTCACAAAAGGTGAATAACAAGACAATTGTTGGACACGACCTCATTTTCTAGAAAAGGTATAACTACAAAAAAAAAAAATTCTACTTACATATAATTAGTAAAAAGTTTGATTATATTAAAAAAAACACATTTACCAAAAGCGTGGGGATTGGAGGACAGGAACCATCATATGTAGATGCATGTACATGTATATGAAGGTACACAAGCATGCATACACACGTCTGGACCTCGACATTTCTGTATTTGTGCAATACCAACTCCATAAAGCATTTTCCAACTAATTGAACAGACTACATCAATCTACGTCATAACTGCAATCAAGCCACATGCAATCACATCTTTCTTTATTATCTCATCCTTTGGTAGCTTTAGTCTTTTCCTTCCATAGTACCCTCAATGTGGACCACATCACAATTTCTCAGTTGTCTACTTATTGGTCTTCGCTGCACATGACGAACTACCATAATTGAGTTACTCGGATTTTAACTCCAATCGATCATCTCATCAATGTGTTTATTTCTAATTTTATCATTCCTCATCTTGCCATGCACCCATTTCAATATTCACATTTTAGCCACACTCATTTTATGTTCCATAACGTATGGCTGGTCTAATAGTTGTTTGTATTATGTAATATAGTTGATTATTGATTTTTATGCTTCATAAGTTACAAATCTTAATTATAAGCACAAATTATTTACAATACTTTATCATAAATATATATTTGTCATATATAATATTATTCTATAAATACAAAATACATCTTTGTTTACATCTATGTATCATAATTCTTTAAAAATTGCCCAATCCGCGTGTCTTGTTGAGTCCATATTATGTTACGGTGTGCATGATTCGAGACTATACTTGATGAATAATGGCTACAATTTGTCCCCATCAATATGGTACTCATAGTGCAGATATAGTAACAGGACATATCTGTGGTTCACCTAGGTTGGGATAGAGAATCGTCAAATCTCAAAATAAGGGGATCATGCAAGATTCTACAAGCATTGGTAACAAAAACTTGAGGGTCATAAAATTCTTTAATAACATGTCTGAATTTTCTGTTATAAATGTGAAAAAAAAAAAAACAATAAGGTTTGAATCATGAGAATATTGATACAAGTAGAATACAATTTTTACCTCTAGAATTTTGGCAATGAATGACATGACTGAAATGTAAGTTACCTAGTTAATAAGACTGCCGGGTATTGGTTTGGTTTTTCGAGTGAAGTATAGATATTTGGAAAGACAGCGTGTCCTGAGTAACAGTAGCCATATAGACCAATAGCAACAGGAAAAGTGGACAGGTTTAGCGTCGTTCCTTTGCTCTGAAAGCCAACATGATCCACCAAGCCAACCCAATACAAGCAGATAACCACCAATACTGACGCAACAACACCACCAGCTGGAGGAAAAGGAAGTAAAAAACTAAGAATTCCTCATGATGAACTAGTGCTGGCCAAATGCAGTGAATGCACACCATGCAAATAAATACCCAAATCAACATTGGCACAAACTAAAAAGTGAACTTAATTATTTTTGGATAATAATATATAGTAACAAAATTTGTAAATTTCTTTTAATTCCACACAGATCTATAACCACATAAGGTTCTCAGCATCACAGAGCAGTCTACCAGTTTAATTAATCATTCCACAGGTCAGACCTGCAAACTCAACGACAAAAATACCTTAAACCATTCTAACAGTTGGCCTGATAATGGTGGACTTCATCAAATTCGCATGATTAACATGTAGAATCAGAATCTATTAACAGTAATTGTTTATTTAGTTTCTACATCAACCTAATGCAATCAATTGCGGGGCACCAGCCACCAAATCAAGTTCAAGAGCGACTATTTTCACTCTTCCCATTTACTGAGTTACTCCTCAAAGAAAACATTGAAATCAGTGTCTTACACAGCAGTTTTCACTGGAATGAGAAGATACTCCTCCCAGATCCATGATGTGCTATAATGTGACTGAGTATAGTAGGACTGGGAGTGCAAGAACTTAACTAAAAACAAATTATTGTTTTGTTTCCAAAAAAAAAAAAGAGGCCAAAATTCATATACTCACCAGAGATGTAACTAAGAACACTGAGGTCTCGAAGCCAAACAGTTGGAAGAACAGCAAGTGTGGTCATCAGTGCGAACAGATGGTGCGAATTTATTTCAAATCCTCCCAAATTTAAATGGGCATTTGGAAAGAGTGAAGACAAGTTGTCACTCTCCAAAATTATGTATTCAATGCAACAAGACTGCAAGGAAAGAAAATCTGAATTGGTGACCTTGATGTTATAATAATACAAATGATACTCTAGAAATCTACAAAATGGCACACTTTTTCTGATGTGCCCCAGCACTTTGCTGGAAAGCCAGCACCATATATGATATTCCAGCATTTTATTCAAAAATAATTCAACAAAATTCAAAATAAAGGGTGTATAACTATTTTGAATGATTAAGGAAAACCAGCAAAATTTTGAAAACAGGACAATGCAACTCTTGTCCAAGAGGAATAAGTGGCAATGTGGCATGTGTATATATATGTAAAGAGATTAATGTGCTTATTCATAGCTAAAGGTTACAAATATGTACAGCATTGCTCTTTCCACTGCCGTTCCTTTTCCCAAAAATTTACCTGACTTTATAGACTACAGTGTGCTGCCAGCACACTGAAAAAAAACCACCAGATTCATTAACCTGCTGACATGTATCAGTACATTCAAATTCAAAATGAAAGAGCTTATGTTCTCCATTGACTTTAGAACAACTTTGACATTTCAGCAGGTGAACAAAAAATGGTTACTGAATATAATTTCTCACACAAATGCCAAAGAAAAGTTTATTGACACTGAGAAACCATCTCAACTTGATAAATCATTACAAGAAATATTAAATTTTAAAATTAATGATGGATTGCTCATGTATCTGAAAATTGTTGGTCTTTCCATTTTTCCTATACACAAGCTTGCGCCAAGTCATGAATTGCTAGTGAATCTCTTAAATAGGACCAAGCAAGTTTGTGAAGCAATAACTCGGGAATTGAATTAGGACACACCACCGAACCATGACACAGCACGGAATAAGTCCAAAAGGGCTAGCCTAATGCTCGAGGCTCCCGCCATTGCAGGGTCTGGGAAGGGTCAGATGTAACCTCACTTTTGCATGTGAAGGGACATTTCCCATTTTGAACCCATAACCTTTAGGTTACAATGGAGCAACCTTACAGTTACACCAACGCCCACCCTCACCAAATAAGTCCCACTCGGTAGAGATTTAATGAACTAAACAGCCTGTTTGGTTGAGTTTCAACAATCTGATTTCATACTTTAAATTCAGTTCTACTAGATGGTTGATCTGATATACAGAGAGGAGTCCTGAGATACCAATGATCTATGGGAGTGCCCTGAATGGAACTGACATGGCATCATCTGCTAGTTAAAAAGAGAAGCAGACCCCAAGATTATATGGTTGTTAATGATTAATAAATAACTGGTTCATGAAAGCATCAAAGGCTGAGACTATTCAATGTGAAAAAGTCATTTCTACATAAATGAGCACTTTGCTTTTAGTCACTTTAATAACTGGCAGACTAATTATCACTAAGATATTTGAGTGGGAACAAGGCATCATGCTCCAAATTGTGGGACCAAGAAACATATAGGTAGTCTGTACTGAAATTAAATGCATATGCATCCTACTCAAGTAGGATAGATTTGAAATTCTCTCTGATATTGTAGGTTTGAAAAACAAGGCTGAAAAGAATAAACCATGCAATTACACAGTTAAGCAAGATGTACTTACATACAGTTCCACGTATAGTATTATCTGCATCCACAAAAGAAAAAAAAATAAAAATAAAAACAGAGTCAGCAGCTGGAGATGCATTTCCTGTAAATATTACCACAAATAAAAAATAAATATAAAAAACATATTTCTCCCTTTTACTTTTAGGAATATTCACTATTTAGATTTGTCTGTCCCCTTTACAATTTCAATCAGAAAATCAGTAACTATCCAGAATCACTTCTACCACTTCCAAATATTTATTTTCCTATTTTAAAGTCGATTCCATTAATGAAATTTTAGATATCACATTTACAGATGTCTTGTATCTGTTTTCTCAAAAATTGTATAAAGTAACCTATTATATAGGGGAAAATCTATACAAAATTATGTGGGTACTTGTTATGAAAATGAATAGCTTCAAATCAATGCACCAACTTCAAAATGGATAGAAGAAGGGGACAAAATAAATTTGGAAAAAGAAATTGTGAAATTAGTTGGAGAACTCTCAACATGATGAAACAACATGATGAAACAAAAATGTAAATAAAAGATTCTTTCCTATAGTAGAGTACCAAAATGTCACTTGATTTTTCCGTCTATACTATAAAGATTCTATACATACCTCTTTTGATATTTTTCTTCTTCAACTAGACATATGTAGAAAATGTTCGTTTATGAGAAGGGTGCAGAGAGATAAGAAAGAATTAAAGAGACTTACAGATACTGCGACACGTCCTATAGTACCAAAGGCAGCCTGGCCAATGTCTGGATAAGTTTCAAGCCCAGGTTGGCTATCTAAGCAGTAACGCAAGAGGATCCCAGTGTAGTAAGAAAGAATTGCAAAGACAAACAATACAGAAAGCCCAACCCATCCTCCTTCTTTGAGAGCATAAGGAGTAGAAAGGATTCCTACTCCACATAGGACATTCATGCCTGGATAAGACCACAATGAAATTTCAAAATATTTTACAGAAGAGCATTTGGCATTTACTTCTTTAATGAAGTCAAACAGTCCATCATCAGCCATAAAAATAAAATTTTGTATTTTCATCACAAAGAAAAATTATTATTCATCAATCATCATAATAGGTAATAACAATCAAAATGAATATTGGCATATGAAACTGGAACTGTTACGATAACTTCTAAGCCATGATGCAACCAACTGCATCAAAGGCATGGCATCTTTTTGGTCAGAAAGCTCGTGATAAATGCAGTTAGCTACCTATCACATATTTAAAATGTCCTAACATGTCCCAGCAGAAGGTCATTGTTTTAATTTGTATAACTGCAATCACAATTTTTAAGAGTCTTGAATTGAAGTGGCCACATGAAAAAAATCACACAAGCTTACTCCTCTTGAATCACAAGTGAAGACACTTTCGTCATTTATTTGAATAGAAAAATCTACTGTCCAACTAAAGTATCTCTCCCACGACCGCCGATTAACTAGACAAACAATAAATAATGGCCTTTTTTTTTTTTTTTTTGCACTGTTTTCCATCAGATGATCTTAACTAACTAAACATTTGTTCAAAAAAGAAGCAAATCTAGTCCTGAATCACATAACATACCATTTAACACAGCTTGGCCGTAGGAGCACTTGCGAGTAGCTGGGACTTCATGTGAGGCCCAGGAGGGTTTCTGATCAGGACTGACCTTCTTTGTAGAAGGCTTCCCTGATGGAATGGGAGGAAGCAAAGAATGAGAACTACGTCTTTGTTGTGGCTGTTGCTCGTCTGCGGTTGTTGGTAACAGTGGTTTAATCAAAGAAGATAATATTTCAGGAGTGTGTCTCCTTGACAGTGATGAGGAAATGAATGAACTGCCTAATCTTGATAATGTAGGAGTGCCCAGAAATGTAAGATTTGGAGATGGTACACTACTATAAAGATCAATTGATTGCCTGAAACATTTATCAAAGAAATTCATCAGGTATAATTCATGTAAATGATACACAAAAAAGAAAAAAATTGACTTTCACATTATTTTCCAATATGTATATAGGTATCACTTATTCAAACTATAATTCATGTAAATGATATAGAAAAGCAAAAACACACAACACACACTATTTTCCAATATGTATATAGATTTCACTTATTCAAATATGGTCCAATAGTTTCCCAAATATTATTAGAAACACAATGATTAAAATAATCACATTTATTACAGTAATACATGTAATAGTAATTTTAACTGTAATGTTTCAAACACTTTCTCTAATTGATGCCAACTCAAACAGAAATTCTTGCTTGGAGTAGCAGAGTTAGATTGGAAAGACTATAGCTAATAACAAGGCTCTAAGGATGGATTTTTAAATGGCTTGGTGTAGGGATCAGTAAATTCCAAATTGGAATTGTTTCGGATTATAACAAAGACGAGATTCTTTACCGACTATGGAATATAGATCTGCTTTACACAAATTTGATAGAAAATGACTGTTAATACTATTGAATTACCAATAGAATGTCTACTGCTTTGGCTGATGTCATACAATCATAACCATACCCTTAAAGGAAAAAAAGGAAAAAAAAGGTTAAGCAGCTAAAAAAACATGTGAATGAATACTAATTGGAAATAGAATGAGAGAAAATCAACTAAAATGAGTTTGCGATGTGAAGCTAAGATAATTACACTCAGGAAGAATGAGACCAACATTAAGAGTGACGATAGAGAAAAGGGAAAACCATGCTAAACATCCATTGAGATAGTAATAAAAAGATACGATAACAAGTGATCTAATTGAATTGAAGTCATGGCCTTAGATAGAGCACGAAAACAAGTCACTGTTGATAATATTAGGAGTTTATTTCCAATAAAACAGAGAAAAACAGAACACAAAGGGAGAGAAATATACCTGTAACTTTGAGGCCATGAGGGGGTCACAGAATTGGGTTTGCTCTGCTGCTGGTTTTCAATTGAATAATTCGAGGAATCCGAATCATTCCCGCTGTTTTCTTCGCCTTCTTCGCCTTTGTTAAATTCCTTCTCCTCATCCTCTTCTTCACTCTCAATGTAAAAGCTCTGTTCCCGAACCGAATTGTTCATCTTTTCGAATCTCGCTGTTGAAAATGCCTTCTTCAACTCTCCAAACCTACACTTTCATTAGTAGGTTTACATAGAAAAATAAATAATTTTTTTTAAAAAAAACTCAATTATAGTAACAGAGAACTCTTGATATATAAGTTCTAGTCACCTCTTTCACTATCACACAAAAAACCAGATCTAAGCCCTAGAAATAGGCAACCGCAGTAAACAATGACACTATTGACGTTAAATAGGGATTATATACATAAATTTCTTACCTTGTATAACTAATTGAGCCTGCTGCTCAAGATGGCCTCAAACTGTGATAGGAATCACAATCACCTGCCATAATGTCACTGAATCAACAGAGATTTAAAGGAAACATATACACAAACACATATATGTATATGAAAGAGAATATATATATTTGCATGCATAAAATTAGCTGCCTAAATTGTAATAAAACAATCAAAGAGATTCTAGAAATGTCTCTTTTTCCCCAAAAAAAAAAAAATTCCTTAGATAAACGGTGAATTATCAATAACAAAATAAAAGGAAAAAAAGAACAGTGATATATTCTAAAAACTAATAGCTCAATGTCGATTCATCAGGGAACGAAAAAAAACTCAATAAGATCTAACGAAAAAAAACTCAATAAAATCTAAAATAAGTAATTAAGGATTAAGCCTCAAATTTAACCATAAGATATATACGTTTATATCTATATATATATGTGTGTGTGTGTGTGTTGTTAAAGTCAGAATAGAAAGAGAAATCTGCTGAAAATATGAGTTGCGCAACTTCTATTTTAAGTTTGAAAATTTCAAACTGAAAATTTAGAGCCAAAAGGCAAATCACATAAATAGAGAGACAAGGACAATGTGAGTTTGAGAGATAGACGTTTTTACTTTGGAAGCAGAGAGGCGCGGGCTTTTTGTGATGGTTTCTGTCAAAGTTGCAGGACTTTTTAGAGAGAGAGAGAGAGAATTTTTGTCGAAGTGATATCGGAAGACGAAGACCTTTTTTTTTTTTTCTTTTTTTTTTTTTTCCTCTCTCTAGGAAGTAGAACCACCTGCTTTCTCAGAGAAAAACAGAATTCTGTTTTACTACTTTCTCCAATTGTGTTGTTAATGCTTACACTGCTATATATATATATATATATATATATATATATATATATTTAAGGTCCAGTCACTGCTTCTTCATAGTAGAAGAGAACCATGTTCGCAATTGAATCGTGTGACGTGTTGTCATTTACACGCGCGCGTATTGACAAGCAACAAAGCAAAATTTCCGGAAATTAGTGACGTGTCTGTAGACAATTTATTTCTACGTACTCCTCCCATCCCAATGAGTCCAATCATAAAAGGAGTTTAATGGAAATTAGGGAGACGGTGAGCATCTTGCGGAAAGAAAGAAGGAATAGTGAGTTAAAGAGAGCGAGAGGCGTGTGTGAAAAAAATTTCTCTCTTTATGAATGACCATGAAAAGACCTCAATAATTCAAGTTTAATTTTTAATATTTTTCAACACGTATCATGTTATTATTAATTTATATTAACATAAAGAGAGTCTTATTTATACGGTCTGAGACAAGTTTTTTTCAATATTTATATTCTTAAATAAATTTTTTTTTCTTTCTCTATTTTGCGTTTTTTAACGCTTGCACTATCTATGTATATATATATTTGGTAAATTGCACCGTAATAAGTATTAAGATTAGTCATTGTTTGTGGGAGTAAAGAAATTTTTCATATTCTCTTTTTTTAGTTTTTATTTTATTTTCTTATTCTTTAATTTCATTCTTTCCTCTCTCAACAAACTCAAAAGTTACAAATCATCTCCCTCCTCAGTTCTCTCTCATTACAATTTTATAATTTTCTTTCTTATTAACTCAATATTCATTAGTCTTAATTTGAATGCATTTTTCTTGTATGAAAAAATTTGCAGCATTGAATTGGGGCTTAATTTCTAAATTAGGTTATATTGTTCTTTTTCTTTAATTACTCCATCTGTCCCAAAAACATGTTCTTCTTTCCTTTTTGGATTATTCCAAAATAAATGTCCACTTTCATTTTTTAAACAATATATTTTATGTCTTTCCATATATGTTCTTGAAGTTTAAATTTTCAAATTTAAATATTCAAAATTTAAAAGACAAATTATTAACTTTTCAGGAAAACAATACATGGTCCATATATCCCCTTAAAATTTTCTACTACCAAAAGCTACATTCTTTGTGGGACATATAGAGTATTTTTTAGTTTTACTAACTTTTGTTATTATAAATTTGTATATATTTATATTTTTCATATATTTGTATATTTGTTTGTCAGTTGTGACTATTTTTACCCATATTATACAGTTGAATGTGTTAGTATCAATTTGGATTTGAAAAACATAAATAAAAAATAGAAGAATAAATAAACTAATTCAATCTCAAAATAGAGCTATTGATAATTTTTTTTTTTTTTTTTTAATTTTTTCCTAAATGGAGCTATTGGTAAATTTGTTATAACTAATAATCAAAACCTAACAAAAAATTGATAAAATCATATATACGATTAACTATGTCACAAAAAAGATTAAATGTATTGGTTATATTATCTATTGAAAAATATATTTTAACCATACTTAAATATAAGAATTTAATCAATAATAATGCATCTCAAAAAGAAAGAAGGATGTTTTTTAATTAATTATTATTTAATACTTAATATATTATATATTATGATATGAAAAAGTTACTTTTTTGTTTTTTACCTAAGGCCCGAGTTACATCGAGTTGCCGTACTGACAATTATAAAATAATTTCTTGAAATATTTGTGGGTAAGCTAAATATACTTGGAAGATTTGAGTTTTTCTCATTTCAATTGAGTGCTTGTTGGAAATTATTCGCAACGCTATATTATGAATTGCTGTCGCATGTGAGAAAAAAAAGGCTGTGTGTATATATTATTGGATATGCTTGTTGATGCTTGTTTGCTACCATGTCACAAACATTTTATCACAAGCTAAATGGAGATGGGGCACAACTCACGATACGATATAAAAACTGAATGTGAATTTGATAATATATTTGACAAAAAAATTTGATGATATATTAATATAGCTTTCGTTTGTATACATTTGTTATATAAAAATATATAGAATTTTACTAATTTTGGGCAAAAATGCACTAAATACTCTTCAATTATTTACAAAATGCACCTTTGAGGCTAAATACAGTCAAATGTGATGAATAAGTTAGATGCATATGGTCACGGACTCGCGTTAAATAATAAAAAAATGTGGAGTTACATATGTTTAAAATTAAATAACAAATATGGGAATTTAATTTCTCGTAGCTTGTTCGGCACATGTCAAGCTATGTCCAACTTGTATCGATGTGAGATTCAAATTTTTTGACCTTTTAATCGTGTCTAACAAGAGAGTCGATTTACTCTACTTTATTGTTTACTCTAGATATCAATGAATGGCATGAATATTTAGTGGGTATTTTTAAAAAATTAAGTGGAAATATTAGAATATGTGAGAGAGAATTGATTATCACAAATTTTGAGTGAAGATTGTCACCACTGGTTCTTAATTGGGTCCGTGCCTACATGTATGGTAGGGATAAAATAGACATAAGGAGGGTATTTAGGTCATTAAATAAAATATGTAAAAATTAGCAAAATCAACCTTGCAAACCATGAGATTATTACTAAATTACTACAGCATGCAACATTTGTCATTCCAGCCTAGCGAATTACCAAAGAAAAAGACATATCACTCCAGCCTATATATATATATATATATAGCCTACCATATATGGTCAAATATATAGCCACGATAGTCCTCTTTCGATCCATATATCTTATTTGTTGTAGATCTTATCACAACAAGACCAGCACATAGTGTCGAAACCCTAGCAACAACTTCACTAAAAAAAAATCTAGTTTCACATTGAGATTTAGCTTATTAATTAAAATATTTTAAATATATTATACAAGAAAAGCCTATATATACTATTTAATTTTCCATAGATCAGATCTGCCAATCTCAATTATTTAGGGCATTTATGTTGTACTTGAGGATATGCTTTTCTAGTCGAGTCTCCTCTTCTCTTCAAATCATGTCTATATTCATTTCACCACATTTTTTTAAATTGGAGTGAAGAAATGATATGTATTATAAAATTTGAGTTCACCTATTTTGGTTTATTATGAGAAAACATCGGCTCATTTATTTATTTTTTATGTTGCTTAATACATGCTTTTCATATTGTGTGAATAAAGAAATGCAATCATTCAGCATTCATTAATTAAATTGTGCAATCATACAAGTGGCTGATTAGATATTTTTAAATACAAAAATAATATCTCCGCTTCATAAAAGTAAATTTAGCTATTCGTTCTACCATTTAGAATTATATGTTTTTACCATTTTTAGAATCGTAACTTCATTTCTAAACATTAGAACAAGATGATAAATCTCTTTAAACTATATGTTCCACAATCCACCGAGTTAACTACGTTAACACGTATGATAAAACAAAACTTTGCGCAAATAGGTTTCGGTATTTAAAATTTTCTTTATATTTTTCAAATTGAACAAGTGAGGACATTTTAATAACTTAAAATATCTAAAAGAGAGATGAAAAGAGGTGAAATGTAAATTCCATATTTGCCCCTTGTATAGGTTTGGGGGCTCTGCAATGACACCAAATGTAATGTGTCACACTTTAATTTACAATTCGATTAAAAAATCTTAAACTAAGGAGTGATATTGATTACTGTCTTTATAAATTCAAAACTCTCCTCCTTTTTATTTGATGTATAATACAAAACCCTATGAAAGCAATAATAATTCAAAACAATTTTCAAAAATTATAATCTAGTGATATTTCTTTTTTTTTACATTTTAACGTAAAAAGTAGATCGGTGGCACGTAAAAGATATATATAAATACCCCTATATATATACACACACCATATATATATATATTCACTTGCATGTGGTAGAAACTGAAACACACAACCTAACATGATGGCGATTCACGAAACAGTCACAGATAACTCATTAATGTAACCAACGTGGATAAGACATGATTCTCCATACCCCACCAGTTGCATGTGTCTCTACACATACAGTCATGCACATGCACATGCACATATATATGTTGCCAATAATGTCATTTACGTTTCTATAGAAAACCATCGACATGCATAAGGATGGTATCATTATCAAACCAGCGATAAGACATGATTCTCCATACCCCACCATCTGGGTCTCTACACACAGTCATACACATGCACATATATATGTTGCCATTAATTTCATTTACGTTTTTATAGGACCCTCCACATATATAAGGATTGTATCAAACCATCGATACTGAATTATTAAAAACGAGTTCTTATCCCCACGTCACAAACCATGATGACGTGGACGCCAATAAATCTACATAACACAGATTTAACATATATATATATATATATATATATATATACCTCACCTTAAAAATGACAGGGATGATGTTGCCTTGTTCTGTAAATGATCCAAAATTCTAAATAAGACTGAAAAAAGGATCACAATAAGACCAGCACATAATGTCGAAACTCTAGCAGCAACTTCACTAAAAAAAAATTAGTTAATTTCATATTGAGATTTAGCTTATTAATTAAAATATTTTAAAGATATTTTACAAGAAAAACCTATATACTAAATAATTTTCCATAGATCATATCTGCCGATCTCAATTATTTATGGCATTTATGTTGTACTCATCACATCATGTCTATATTAATAATTTTCCATGGATATGCTTTTCTTGTCGAGTCTCCACTTCTCATCACATCATGTCTATATTCATTTTACCATATTTTTTAAAATTGGAGTGAAGAAATGATATGTATTATAATATATTTGAGTTCACCTATTTTGGTTTATAATGAGAAAATTAAACGTCAACTCATTTATTTATTTTTATGTTGCTTAATACATGCTTTTCATATTGTCTAAACAAAGAAATGCAATCATTCAGCATCCATTAATTAAATTGTGAATTCGGTGATTCGATATTTTTAAAATACAAAAATAATATCTTTCGCTTCATAAAAAAAAGGTTTAGCTAGTCACTCTCATAACTTCATTTATGAG